AAGACTTGGCTCCTGAACTTCCACGTGGGGGGAGCTCCTGGGAAGACGAGAATAAGGACAGGGAAATGCAGTCCCCACACACAGGGGCTCAGGGACCCCTCGGGTCCCTCTAAGAGGCAGCTCGGACACCCCAGGACTGCTCCCCTTGGCTCAGCCCCAGCTGTAGGCTCGCTGAGGCAGCGCCTGCATGGGGTGCCTGGGACCCGGGAAATGCTTCCAGGGCTGGGTCCCCGCTTAGCACTTTACCAGGTCGGCACTGCCTTTGTCCTCCTAGGACAGGACCAGGGATGGAAGGACCAAGCCATCCCGTCCCCTGCGGGCACATCAGGCCCACTGACCCAACAGACTCGCTGCTGCCCCTGCCATGACTGCTTACCTGATGTGGAGACCAGCGAACCCCCTGTGCGGGGGGCCCGTTACCCACTGCCCACATCCCCCCGCGTTAGCACTCACTCAGGTTACCCTGCCTCGGGCACCCGAGACTTGCCACTGATGAACCCGAGGACAGCAGTGACCACAGCCCTGAGCGGTCAGGGGCATGCCCCATTCCCCAGGCCACGAGAGAGAGAGCCTGGAACCGTATCTTGTCTATTTTTGCAGCTGCTAAAACAGTCCCTGCACAGGAAAAACAGCCTAGAATCCAGCTACTCACAGTCAACATTTATTACACAAATGGGCAGATCTAGTGAGTTTCCTGCTGCACATTGTTCAAAACCAAGGAAATAATTTTTAGTAAGTAAACTAGGGTTTTGGTGTGGCCCCCAAAACTTATAAAAGTAATTCTTTAAAATTATATGCATATAAACGTTTCTTATAAGGATACTTTGATGATAATCTACATTTGACTGTCCACCCAGTGGTACCCAGGCGTCAGCTCATGCTTGTGCTTTCACTGGGCGCTTGTGCAGAATACACTGCCCTGATTAAACACTCGACTTCCTCTGTCTCACCACTTTCTGGAAGAGGACCCAGACCGTCACTCAGAGTCTGCTCATGTCACCTATGACCAGGACCTTCTAATGAATTCGTGTCAGACTCTGTCACGGATGAATCATTCAAGAATTCTGACGACCAGATTTGAGGACCTGCACTAATTTCTAGCTTACGTTCCCATGAAATCTGACAAACTGACTGATAGGTGACTGCCTTTATAAATGACCTAGTTTTAAAAGGTTCCACTTCAATGACTATTAAAAATATTGAGTGGTGATGCTTAAGATGTTTTTTTATGTACGGGAAAGCTCCCAGCATTGGACGTGAGACACCCAATGGCGCTTGGATCACATAAGGTCTGGGAGAGAAACCTGGAAGCGGCCGGAGGGTTGTGAAACCAGTGAGAACCAGCACCGTCCTGGGGGAGGGCACAGCTCAGGGTCATTTATGGGGACACAGAAAGAAGGAGAGCTTGCATCAGCTGGCAGGGATGAGATCCAAGCTCTGACTCCAAACCAGGACCCAGACGCAGAAATTGTAACAGACGCCCCCAAACAAGTGTGAGCGGGTGTCGTTTCCGTCAAAGAAATCACAAAGGAGAATTCATAATGTTACCCTCATGAACCACTGCACATCGGTTCCACGAAGTTCTACTGACCACGCATCAGAGGGGAACAGAACTGAAATCAAGGAGGTGGTTCCAAAAAAAAAAAAAAAGGTCAAGGAGGAAAAACTGATTACAAAAATTTTAGCAGAAGTTTTCGAACAAATGAAAGAAAATCCTAATTTATATTAAACTAATAAACTCACAGCAATCAAACCAAGCGATTTTTATAGTTCAAAGTTACAGGCTCCAGGCTAGTTTAACACAATTTGTGAATAACAGAAGCAAAATGAGATTCTGAAGAAATGCTCACAAATGGGGTGTTATTCCTACAGTTATAGGAACAACGCTCTGCAGGTGAAACTGGACCTCCTGTTAAACCACGCCTACTGCCCAGCCGGGGCCGGGACCCCAATGGACAGGACCACCACACAGCGTCTCTTAACACCTAAATCAGATGTCCCAAACCATTTGTTAGGGCTAAGAAATGTCTCCTCTAGAGACAGTCTTTTGTCCAGAATCTGTTATTACCGGAGTCCTGGGTCTCAATCCATACACTGTATTACAGATACGATTTTATTTTAACACACACGGGCACATGTCTCATAGAGATAAACCTGTCCTTGGAATCCTTATCTGTCTGCGTGTTTTGCTGCAGACTTATCTTCCCAGCATCCAAGTTGGAATGAAGCCTTCACGAGATGGGACTCACCCTGAAGATGGTTCCCATGAACCCTGGACCCACCCCCCCCAGCGCAGCACACAGGAAACCCAGCTCCTACAGACCCAAGATGCCCTGTCCGGCCCAAGAGCTGAGGCTGGGGCGTTTCACAGGTGGAGGCGCCCCAAGGCCATCACAGGACAAAGCAGGAATCTAACGTTTGAACCAGATCCCTTGGAAATTTGTATTTCATGAGCCTCCACAAATCAGAGCCCCGTGTCCTGCTGTTTCACTAATGTGAAACCTACTTTCTACGCAAATCGGGCATTTGAGGCAAAAGCAGCCCCCCTCCCACCTGTTTTCAGCAGAAACGCACACTCACCTTTGACCTCAGTAACAAGAGACACACAAAATGCAGGTGAATTCTTAGGGACCACAGCCCTGGAGTTACGAAGCTGCAGGAATTCTCCGAGGTCTCAAACCCAACTCAAACCTCAGCAGGGAATCAGGTTCTGGGAAATCACTGATAAAAAAAGGAGCAGACGAAATCTGAAAAGAAACAGAAATATCTGTAGATGAAGACTGCTTGCTTAAGTAACTGCTTGAGAACTAACTGATCATTCTTTTTGTTTCAAACCAGTATTTGTAACAGACTACAGAAAAAATACTTACTGACCTCGACCCAAACAGAACACGCTTTCCCCCGGCTCCAAGCTCCTCCCCCGCATCAGCTCGGGGGGAGAGGCCACACACGCCACGGAGGGAAGGGACAGGCAAGGTGGGGACCCCCGCCATAACCAAGGGACCTAAGTTTCCAGGTCTCTTCCAGCCCCTCCCACGCCCTCAAAGGCTGCCAAAATCAAAACAGAGGTTGCCAAGTGGGAACTCAGGAAGCCAGTCTGGGAGAAGAATCACAGAGCGTGGATATTGTCAGAGGCCCCGTCTCCTGCACTGGCTGTTCACAGAGGGGGCCACCTGCCGGACCCAGACCTCAGTGCTCAAACATCCCCGCTGGCATCTGAGGATAGCATCCTGAAACCACAAGAAGTCAGGACAAGAAGCCTGACCGCATGACCCCCACCCCTCCCTCCCGGCCGTGGAGTCTGCTGTCACCCCACCGCCCCAACACCTGGGTTGCTATTTTCAGTCCTTGCCTAACATCTGAGGGGACCTAGAAGCTCCGTGGACTCCAAGTGAGTTCACCGACGCCTTTAATTACGCTTCAAACCCAGAAGGGGTCTGCCCTGACAGTGCACTCTGTTAATTCACCCGTACCATGGCAATGACCCGAAACGTGAAGCACTCCGCAGAAAAGCCGAATTCTATTTCAGTCAAACAGAAGCAGCTAATTCCAGTAGGTCTGTCATGAAAATGTTATAAGGCAAGTTCATAAATTTTGATTAGAAAATGAATTCTGCTTTATGCATTCTCTGGCATTATTTTAGAGCATGATTTTTGTTTAAATGTACAATTTAACACAAGGACAGGGCGATGGGCAAACACGCTGGGAACACTGGGTGTGGACAGCATGTCAGACGTCCCCCAGGACGACGGCGCCCCCCCACCCCGGCCACGCGTTTACAATAACTTGATGGCAGTTTCTCCAGAAACAGGCGTTTCGGTGTCTGAACTCAGGTCCTGACCGAGGATTCCGAGTCCTCACCGCTGGCCTCACACACACCACTTATGGGAGAAAGCCGCCGACTCAATGCAGCCTGGCCCTCAAACACCACCCCTGTGCTAGGGTTTTCAGGGGTTCTTCTGGACTTAAGCCATACTTTTAAAATTTTCATTGAAAAGTGAACGTGCCTGGAGTCGGCTCTCCCCAGGCTGGTGCACGCGTGCGAGGGGCCATCTGGGCGGCCGGGCCGGGGGCCTCCCTCCACATGCACCGTGCCCTCCACGGGGATGTTAATTATACCCACTTGACACACGGCTTAACGTTCTCAGAGAGGTTAAAGGTTCTCCTTAAGAGGCTTGAGAGTGAGGAACACAGGCCTTCAAAACTCTAAACCCACCGCACCAGGAGCTGGAGAACCAATCCACCCGCCCGGGACAGGGGCACGGTGGCTGGGGTCTGGAAGCCCGTCCTCTGATACGCGGCGGTGGGCCAGGCGGGAAAGCTGGGTGGATCGGAGCTGAGACCCTGCTGCAGGGTCCAAGAGATTCATGTGTGAGAAAGGGAGGTGGCAGTGTTTCCCTTGAGAAAAGCATTTTTCCGACAAAGCGTCTGTGCACGGGGCTCACATCTTACACAGGAATGAGCAGTGATTGAAGCCTGTCTCCTGCTGGGTTTGCATGATGTCTGCCCACCGCAGGGTTTAACGGGGGTTTTTAGTTTATTCAAACCCGCTGTTAGGGACAGTGTTTCAAATCAGCGCTTAACTACAACCAGGATCTAACTGATCAGAAAGCATACGCTTTTGTGCAGAAAACCACCCCCGACTACAAACACTTTCAGGTGCAAGGTCACGGGGACAGTGGGGGCTGTCATCCCTCAGGGACACTGACAGCCCGCTGGGGACACAGGGAACTGGGTGTACTTTTCTTTATAAAGATATTCCTCCACTAGTGCTAGACACATCCCTGAAAAAATAAAAGGGGAGGAGGAAGGAGCAGAAGGGACTAACACGAACACCAAAGGCATCTCTTCCTCCACGTGGATTTGGACCCCGAATGATACAAAACTTCACCACTGCAAAATCCAAGGGATTATCGGAATTCTCTGCAACACTGAGGATTTCTTTTTCTCAACTGAGTTTTGAAAAGTCCGAGCCCAACCTGGGGCTCTCCCAGTCTTGCCGGGGGCGGGGGGTCAGCTGCAGGACTCTAGACATGAGGGTGGAAGACAGGAATTTTACAGCAATTAGATGAGGGTGATGGATGGACAGGGAAGAGCCTGTGGCCTCTGGCGTCTGGGAAAAGCCCCAGAGGTAAAACATCTAAGCTCTGGAGCAAAAGGCTGGGAAGGATTCTGTTGCTGGTTGTTGCTCAGGTTGCTTTTTTTTTTAAATCTTTAAATTACTGGTAACGGAGATGCCTCCTACAGAATGCATCTGCTTCTAAGAAACCGTGAAAAATCACCTCACTGTGTGTTTTCCTGCTTCATTTCTGACGGGTAACCATTCAGCTCGATGTCCCCCCATTCCTGAGTAGCAGTGATGCTCGCACAGATACAACAGTACCCCAGAAAGGGGCTCCACAAAACCACAAAATGTGGAAGGAAAAGGGAGTGGAATGCATTACACTTTCCCATTTGGAAAAAAGAAAGGCCAATAGTTATAAATACGTATCTTACAGAGAACAAATTTATGATTATTACAACTGAGTAAAAATTTTAATATGACTGTTTTAATTTATTTATTGTTTTAATGTTTTTTAATGGGGGAGGTAATTTTAGGTTTCTCTATTTATTAATTTTTTTAAACAGAGGTACTGGGAATTGAACCCAGGACACCTTGTGCGAGCTATGCATGCACTTTACCACTGAGCTATACCCCTCCTCTCACTGTGTTTTTAAAGTATATTTAACTGCTTTTGAAATGGTCTAAATCTAAATAATCTAAAATGGTCAAAGTGTATTCCCCATGGTTTCCCCAAATGGAGACGCCGTCACAGTTCTGTGCCTTCGTGTCCACTCTTCAGCCATCCTGGGTCCGGCTTGGCACCTCCACTTTCCCAAAGTCACTGCCCAGCCCAACCCAAATCATCGATCAGGGATGAACTCAAACGTCCCCTCTTCTGGGACGTTCTTCATAAATGTCCTCCATTCCTGCAGGTATCTCTCTTTCATAATCCAACTGCCCGTTTAGAGGCCGTGTAGACCGGAGGCGCCTCTGGGAAGGGACCTGCACGTGCTGGCGTCCTCCCGCCCTGGCCACACGGCAGGCTCTCGACAAAATGAGTCTGAGCAGACATCCGTCATCCAGTAAACTCTGGCTTCCTTAGTCCTACCTGTGAGACCTGTTACAACTCTCCGGTGCCGGGCAGCGTTCCAGAATCCTCTTCTCCTAAACTTCCATCTGAGGACCCTGAACCCCTTACGCAGGTCACAGCGCGACTCTGCCAAAACCAAATGACAGTTCCGTGGATGAACCATCTGTCTTCCTTTCATTGCTTGTTTTTCTTGAGTATTTCATCTATTAAACAAATCAGCAACGAGCCAACAAGGGGGACGAAATCAAAGAGCACTTCTAAATCCTACAGCTCAAAGCTATACAGATGACGTCCTATGGCAGCTGTCCAATTAGCGCCATCCCCAAAGCTCCTCAGTACCGTGTCTGGGCTGAAATCCAATTAAGTCATTTCTGTCTGAATGTCCCCAAAGAGCCTCCCTGCCGAGCTCGAAGTGGAAATAATCGTAAAGGCCAGATTAGCTGTGTAAGCACTTCCAGGGCCGAGACCAGACAAGAGCTTGAAAACCAACATGCCCAGGCTTTCAACTGGGCATAAAGGAAACACGTGTCAGTGACCACCTGGCGGGAAGAAAACGCACTTCCTCTTCCAGCCAGGCCTTTTCAGACAACCCTCGTCCCGTGTGGGGTCAAAGCAAAGCTGTAGGCCGTTCTCTGACACTCGTCGGCAGGTGAGACTTGGGCTCCGCAGAGCTGCCGTGTGCGCAGAGGGCGTGCGCACAGAGAGACGACAAGCCTTCTCTGACTCACCCTTTCCCTGACCAGCCCCTCGATGCACGTGACTGTCCCGTAATGATGTGCAAAACAAGCGCTGTGAGAGGCTGAGGGGCAGGATGGACCCGGGAGGAGTGACATCTCCCCTTCACCCTGGACCTAGTTCTTCGATTTACAACTTGTCAAAAGATGGAGGACCTTCAGGTTACACATGGGAGCTGAAACACAAGTGTTCCAACAGCGCGGTCCAGACACGGAAAGGGTCCCCACCTGCCTGTCCACGCAGATCCCACTGAGACCTGCCAACTGGACCCCCTGCAGGTGGTAAGAGCTCCTGGCTGGTTACGATGTCAACCCCCGGTAAGGCCCACTGCCGCCGAGAAGGAGAGAAAAGTGGAGAAAGGTACAGTCAAGAAACCCCTATTCTCCAAACCCTCAACATCCGAACACCAGGCTCGTCTGAAGGAAGACTCGCCCCAGCGATGGGGCCGTCCACGCCTCTGCACGTGATGGAAAGGACACAACTGGATGCAAAGCCCAGCTCTGCATCTCACCAGCTGGACCACGTGGAGCTGCCACTTAGCCTCAGACACGAGGGGTCAAACACGAAATGACAGGGCGGTACTTCTGTAATTTATTTGCTGCAAGAAAAGTCACCCATAAAAAAATTCAGTTCAACTTTTCTAGACAACTTCCACAACCGTTTGGATAGTTTGCTATCTAAACTATCTGCTATTATCTGCCTTAGAAGCAAAAATCTGAGGAGACAAACCAACAGCGTATATATGAACGTAATAGTCGTAGATAAAAAATAATTGATGACGGATTCGAAAAAGCGATGTCTTCACACTATAAGAAGGAAGAGGGAGGAAACAAGAAAAAACAAAACGACTTGAGCAACTCAGTGCTTAGCTATTTCCA